CCCCAAAACCCCAAAACCCCAAAACCCCAAAACCCCGTTAAAAATAAATTCCTTTGAAAGATTTAATCATTCTAAAATGTCTCAAAGCGATAGCTCTAAGAGTCATGCCGGAGAATACTGTTCACAGATGCAAAGCTTTGAAGTTAGCATGTATGCGAAAGATAATGACAAGGCTAGCGGAACTTTTAACAACCAGATCCAGTTCTTGCTTTCAACATTAGGCTACGCAGTGAGTTATGGAAACATCTGGAGATTTCCGTATATGCTTTACCAACATGGCGGAGGAGCCTTCTTTGTTCCATATCTTATCTGTTTGGCCATCTTGGTTTTTCCTTTGTTCTATTTGGAAATTGCCTTTGGACAGATGTACAGGAAAGCCCTTCATAGATATTATGATACCATCCATCCTAAGCTTTTAGGACTCTCATTCACTGTAGCTGCTATTTGCTTCTTTATTGCAACTTACTACCTATGTCTGATAGGCTGGTGCTTTGCATTCTTCCTGAACTCTTTCCAAGACCCCCTTCCATGGGCTCCCAAGGTTGACGAGGATGGTAAAGTTGACGAGTTCTCAAATAGATATTTTGTTAATGAGTTTTTGGATAAATCGGACAGTCTTTTCGACATAAGGTCATACAATCCAACAATTATGATCTCTCTTGTGCTTATGATGTCCTTCGTGTTCTTTACTCTTTACAGAGGGATCCATTCTGCAAAGTATGTATCTTACTTTGTAGTGCCTCTTCCATACTTCATCCTGGCTGTCTTCTTCGTCAAAGGACTTACTATGGAAGGATTCTCTAGTGGCTGGGCCTACTTGTACAAGCCTGATTGGTCCAAGCTATGGACTCTATCGATCTGGAGTGATGCTGCAGGTCAAGCTATATTCTCAGCAGGACTTGCTCATAATACTGTTATTAAGTTTGCATCACATAGAAAGGAGGATGATCCTTTGCTGAGTTCTACCATACTTCTTCCATGCTTGAACTTTGGCACTTCAATGTTTGCCTCCCTTGCTTTGTTCTCTTTCATCGGACATGCATCATATACTTCAGGAATCCCAATTGATGATATGAAAGTGCAGGGAATGGAACTGACCTTTGTGGTGTACCCAGCACTGATCAATACTTTACCTTGGCCTAATCTCTGGAGTATCCTGTTTTTCACAATGATGACATCTCTAGGATTAGGAACTGAATACATCTTAGTTGAAGTCTGTAGCGATATATTCCATGGAACATGTAGCAGGAGGAAGACATTTAAGGGCAGGAAAGTAGTAATGACCTTTATCTTCTGCTTGATTATACTTCTCATCAACCTGGCCTTCTTCGCTTCTAGTGCTGGCTACTATTGGCTAAAGTATGTTGATCACTATGCGACAAGTATAAATCTTGTAGTGTTCTCTTTTGTACAGATAGTTCTCTTTGTTTACTTCTTACCTATTGAAGACTTGATTGAAAAGATCAAGAAGTTCGGAGAGGCAACTCCTAAGCTATACATATTCTGCCTGAAGTACATTTGTCCAATTTTCTCCCTATTTCTATCTGCTATGGCTGTGTATGGAGACATCACTCGGAAGAATAAACCTAAAGAAACTATTGATGTGATCGTTTGTAATATCATCTTTGCAATTCCTTTGTTGAGCTTCTTAATAGTGTTTGTGTGGAACCCCTTCGGAAGATATGACTTAGAGAATAAAGCAGAGTACAGATCAGCAAGTCTTCTAGACGATGGTGAGGAGATGAAGGAGGCTAGCCAGTCTGGTGATCAATAAATGTGAAGATAGGGTATCAAAAATATTAGCTTCAAAAATATTCATTATGCTTGCTCTTATTAGGGGTTTTGGGGTTTTGGGGTTTTGGGG